GGACGGACGGGCCGGCGGGCGGGGGGACGCTGCAACCTCCCTCTCGGGGAAGGGCTTCCTGGCGGGGTTGTGGGGTTCTTCCCTTCAGGTCGCGGGGCTCACGGGGTCCTCGGTCTTCTCGTTCGCGCGCAGGACAAGGAGAAGAAGAAGAAGGAGAGCATTTTGGACCTCTCCAAGTACATCGACAAAACCATCCGCGTCAAGTTCCAAGGGGGGCGGGAAGGTGAGTTTCCTCTGGGGAGGCTCCGTCCCGGTCGCTTCGGCTCGGGCTGCCGATCCGATCCGATCCGATCCCCGGCGTTCGGCCGCACGGAGGGCGCCCGGTAATTCTCCCTTCCTCTCCCCGCAGCCAGCGGTGTCCTGAAAGGATTTGACCCTCTTCTCAACCTGGTGCTGGACGGCACCATAGAGTACATGAGAGGTGCGTAGGAGGTCTCGCGGGAGGCCTGCGGCTTGGGCCCCCTGCCCTTCCGCTTCGGAGTGGGGCGCGGCAGGCAGGTGAGACTAATCAGGCGACTCTTTCTAACACCCCCATCAGATCCGGATGACCAGTACAAGCTCACCGAAGATACGCGCCAGCTCGGACTGGTGGTCTGCAGAGGGACCTCCGTGGTCCTCATCTGCCCGCAGGACGGGATGGAAGCTATACCGAACCCCTTCATTCAGCAGCAAGATGGCTAACCTGTCCAGGCTGCCGTTCAAGCCTTAGGAGGACTGGAGTGCGGTTGTCCTGAAAAGAAGCCTCTTTTGCAAGAAAAATTATTTTTTTACACTCATTTTATATAGGAGAAGGACCTTATAACTTTTTTTTACATTGTATGGCACCATGTGTTGGCAGGGAAAAGCCTTGCAGTGAGGTGATGTCTTTTGTCTGCAGCCGGTTTAGAGTGTCTTGCTGCTGTAAACAATTGAAAGTGCATAAGAAGGTTCAGTGAAATACAACAGACTATTCTTGGCGGTTCTTGGTCCTTTACTCCCTGGATGAACAATGTAGTTCTTCCCTGGATTGGTCCTGTTTCACCAGGCCTTCATCGTTGTCTGCTGACAGCTCTGTGCTGCTTTCTCAGGATGGGGTGTAGGACAACTGAACAGCCTCGTGAACTTTTTGGTAAGAATTGTAAAGAAATGGTGATGAAATTTGTGTAGTTCGTCAGCTTCAAGGGATGTGTTCCTTTTTTGTTGTTGTTGTTTCTCACTGGAGAAGGAGAGTTTCTGAGTTGATATATAATAAAATATATCCTGAACCTTCTCACAAGTTGTAATGTTATGGAACGTGAAAACTCTTGGGTAGTGCGCATTGAGAAGAAAACTGTACACAGTGTTAATTTAGGCAGTATCCTGGACTTGAGATGCCATAGCTATTGTATTAGCTATTTTATTTAAAATGATTCCTGGGCTAGAACTTTAAACCTGGTCCAGATCTGCTTGCTTGGTAACAAAAACTCTCAAAACCGGCACCTTGAATTGGACCTGGAAATAGACTGGTAACCAATGCAGCTCATGAAGCAGAGGCATAACATGTTCTGCTAGAGACACACATAACTGCCTGCGCTGCTGTATTCTACACCAGCTGAAGCTTCCGGATACTCTTCAAGAGCAGCCCCATGTAGAGCACAATACAGTAGTCCAACTGGGAGATCACTAGGGCATGAGTGACTCTGAGTTGCCCCCCGCCCCTGATCTAGGAACAGGTGCAACTGATGCACAGTACAAAGTTCAGCAAAGGCCCTCCTAGCCACGACTGCCACCTGCTCCTTGAGCAAGAGTTGTGAGTAGGAGAACCCACATATTGCACATGGGGTCTGTCTGGGGCAGTGCAACCGGCACCGGGATAAGATACCCACAGTATTGCTTAATTCACCAGGGGTGGAAAGGTATAATTGGGTATCATCAGCATACTGATGATTCCTCATCCCATGGCGACGAATGAGCTCATGCAGCTGGCCTCATGTAGATGTTAAATAGGAGTGGAGAGAGTACTGACCTCTGCAGCACCCCACACAGTAGGGGCTGAGGGCGGGTTCTCTCCCCACCCCAATAACCACCGACTGGAATAGACCCTTAAGAAAGGAGGCAAGCCAGCACAACACAGTGCTGCCCACCCCTGATCCTCTGAGTCAGTCCAGAAGGATACCATGGTTGATGGTATCGAAAGCTGCTGAGAGGTCAAGTAGGGCGAGGATGGATGCTCAACCCCCATCCTGTGCACACCAGGAATGATCCAAAAGTGCAACCAATGCCGTTTCCATCCCATAACCAGGTCTGAATCCTGACAAAAGGATCTAGATAATCTGCTTCATCCAGGGTTCTCTGAAGCTGTTGGGCAACCACCTTCTCAATCACCTTCCCCAAAAAGGGGAAATTCGATAATGGATGAAAATTGTCCAGTATGGTAGGGTCCAGTGATGGCTTCTTGAGGGGGTGTACCAAGTCCTCCTTAAGAGGTGAGGGAACAATCCCGTCGCTGCTAGAACCCACTCACATGACACTCCCTGGGCTGCCTTAACCAGTCGGGAGTGGCGGGGTTTAAAGAGCAGGTGGCTGAGCTCACAGCTCTAAGGACCCTGTCCCCTTCCTCAGGCCCAACAGGTTCAAACCATTTCCAGATAACTGGGCAAAACTCCTCCCCAGGGACCTTGTCTGGACCTGCCACAAGGCTAGCGTCCAACTGAGCAAATTTGAGTGAGTTTTACAGATGCTGGATGGATTTCTCTGCATGCCCCTGCAGGGGGTTCTCCGAGTCCCCTCTACCCAAGAGGGCATGTGTCACCTGAAACGGCCACAGGACAGCTATCTGCAGACACAATGAAGGTGAAGAAGTACTGACGCTTCGCCACCCTTACCGCCACAAGGTAGGCTTTAATAGCAGCTCTAACCTGTGTCCAGTTGAGTTCATCCCCTGTGGAACGCCAGTGACACTCTAGATGTCTCTTCTCTCACTTCAACTCCCTTAGCTCCTCTGTGAACCATGGGGAGTGCCGGGATCCACGAGAGGGGAGAGGTTGCATAGGCGCAATCTGATCCAAGGCCTCAGCTGCCTTCTTATTCCAAGCGGTGACCAAGCTTTGGATGGACCATGCAGCAGATCAGCAGGAACAACCCCCAGCTCCCTCTGGAACCCATCTGGGTCCATTAGTCACCGGGGGTGGATCGATCTAATGGGTCTGGCCTCCCTGCAGTGGATGGTGGCACCAGAGAACCCCATGGCAATCAGGGTGTGATCTGACAAGAGACACCAAAAGCTCCTCCAATTTCAGATCACATAGCCACTGCTTCGACAGGTACACCAGATCTGGTGTGTGACCACTGTCCTGTGTCAAACTCTGGATGACCTGGGATGGGTCCATGGCTGTCATGGTGGCCATGAACTCCTGAGCTACCTCAGAACCCACTCCCAGAGAAGGCAGATTGAAGTCCCCCAAGACCATAACTCTGGGGAACTCCACTCCCAACCCAAAGATGGAGTCAAGGAGCTCAGGCAAAGAGGTTGCTATGCAGCAGAGAGGCTGGTACAACAGCAACAGTCCCAGCTGATCCCTAAAGCCCAACTTAATGAACAGGGTCTCACATCCGGTGACCTGTGGTGCAGCAGCCCTGAAAGCTGTAAGAGATTCCTGGATAACAATCACCACACCTCCATCCCTGCCCCTGGATCTTGGCTGATGCCACACCTGAAACCTCGTTGGGCATATCTGGAAGGGCCACCCCCCTCCCCCCCACTTCCAGGCCAGTTGTATGTCAGTCATGGGAATGTGGTGAGAGCTTGTGTGGCTGAAACATCCCTCCTTGAAAGAAAAAAACAGCTGGCTGCAGTTGTTGGAAAAGAAACCTGAAAGGTATTAATAACAATTGGGCATGAGTATATCAGAATACAAGATCTTCCAAGCCAAGTCATGAAGGGGTAGAGAATTTCTGAACATAAAATTTTTTGTACTTAATATCATGTTACAGTCGCGATGAAGAACATCTTGAGGACTACTGGATGGACGGCCGTTAGGAATTGATGAGTGAGCTAAGAAAGCTCAACAGTAAAGCTGAGACAATCCAGCATTGCCTATAAAAGAGCTGCAGGGAAGAGAAAACTGAAATCCCATCTTCCATTCCACTGAGGTTCATCTTGGCTCTCTAAGGGGGCTTCCCATGACCTTTTGTCACTTGACCAATGACACGAAGGGTGTGGTCTGAATGACTGAGAGAGTAAAAGTGAAATGCTTGTATTGCTAAAATAAAGCTTTTAAAATCTACTGTAGTCTCCTGTTGGGTGGTGGTCACTGACTGCTCTGACGCTGCGTAAAAGATTAAAAAAATGTTATAGCAGAGCACAAACTTGTAACAACAAGGAGGCTGGGTTACAAAGATCAGGATGCTAAATGGGTGAAGATAACACTATGCCAGTCAGTCAAAGATGGTACTCTGGGCTGAGGACTGGCATTTTGATGAGTTGCAGGTCCAGCGTATCTCTGAAAAGGGAGACGCAGCATCCCAGATATGCTCCGGTTCCATGGTTTCTGCTTTGAAATGCTGTTCACTGCATTGTTCAGATGAGGGTCAAAGACTCTGGGTGGCTGAGCAGTTGCTGCTGCTGCTGCTGCTGCTGCTATTATATTTTATCCTTCCTTTTTTACATATGACTCAAGGCGGCGAACCTACTTAATCCTCCTGCCTCCTATGTTCACAACCCGTGGGGTGGGGTGGGGTGGGCTGAGAGAGAGGGACGGGCCCGGCTTCCGTGCCTGAGGCGGGACTAGGACTCACCATCTTCCGGTTTCTCGGCCAGCACCTGAGCCACCCCACCGAACCGGCTCCCCGCCAAGCCCCGAGCGGCGCCATTTCTAAACGCCCTTT